TTCAAACAAAAGTCGGGCACCTTCGTCTGCCTCTAAATTCTAATCGTCTATTGCCCGAGTTATTTTCGAAACTGCGAAGGTTGAGCTCGAGTTTCAGTTTCTCTTGTTCGTTGCTTGTAAATATAAAGGGATTATGATTTTACAAAGTTTCTTTTCCTTTTCGTGGTTATTGTCGAATTCATATCTTCTTTGAATTCTAGATATCGAATTCTAAATGTCTGCGTACCGCATTAGACGTCCCTCGGAAGACGAAAAATTATTTCGTGCATTTTTTAGACTCTCAAATAGATGGTAGAAGACACGAGAGGATATCGTTATTCGATAAGAAATTAGTTCTCTTGTCTTTCTGATGTTTCTCTTGTTTCATTGTCTTGTTCATTATTTTAAGTCACTTCTTCCCTTTCTTTCCTTATCAATCGACTTTTATATATTCGTTTATTGTCGAAACTATTCTCAAATTGTGCTTCTTCGAACAACTTTCGAAATTTTTATTGACGAATAGACGATTGGAATATTTGCGAAGAGCTTAATATCCGATTAAAAATTTCTCGATATTTTTCAATACGAAAGATAACTGTCAGATAATCGTATTGAGAGCGATCTCAAAAAATTCTCAATCACGAAAAAAAAGTCTCGAGAACAATTCGTGATGATATTACTCTCAAGTAAGACACATACCTTTACCATCTCGAACAAGACGAATCTTGTCTCGTTCTCTTGTACAGATCCAAATACACGTACACATCCTTTCTTCCTTTCTCTCTCTCTCTCTCTCTCTCTCTCTTTGTTCAGTGTCCTTTTTTACCCGTTTTATTCTTGTCGGTTGACCTACGCGTGGAAACGGAGCTTTTAGGAGAAACCGGAAAAGAACCTCCTACCTTTGTTTTCGGAGGTAATCCGATAAAAGAAGAAAACGTCGAGATCATGTCCAAGCGCTATAGGGTACCGCTCGGCTTACCCTCAGCGCCCTTCCTTCTTATCTAACGTTTCTAACGACATCGTCGCAAAAAGAAAAAAGAAAAAAGAAGACAACGAGATACGTTTAATCGGCATAATCCATCCACGTTTCTCGATAAATACGACGTAACGTAATTTTAACATTGCCGAACAAAAATTGATATCGATATATCGACAACCTACCCTCTCGCATGTAATATTTTATTTAGATTCAAAAATTCCCCCTCCCCCCAAAAAAAATCAACGAAACGCGATTAATCGGCACAATTCACCCTCGTTTCTCGATCTAAACGCAATATAAATTTAACATTAGAAAATGTAACATATGTTCGTAATATATCTAGATTCGAAAATTCATCAGATCCATATACTTGTTACATGCGAATGTTCTATGAGCGTGAATATAGACGTTCATCCATCAAGATTTACCGAAAGTGCAACGCTAAAAACAAAAAAAAAAGAAGGTTAAATCAAGTCAAACTCGAATTTTCTTGCATATGTTACGGAACCACTTTCAGTTCACTTGGTTAAATTCTGATTCATCGTTTTCATAATTCTCTCGCTCCGTATCACATTCATTCAACGTTTTGATTTCCATTTCGTATCCAGATTCGACACTCTTACGTAATTTCATCTGGATACTTCGGAGATTTCGGAATTCGTCGAATTTTTCTTCTCTCTCTCTCTCTCTCTCTTTCTCTCTCTTCTTCTTCTTCTTCTTCCCAACCACACATTAATTTCGATCCGAACGACTGTTCACCGTCCTTAAGTATGCCATTCGTTAAACACGTAAACACGATTTGGGATGTCAGAGAGCGTCACGTGATCGACGATACACCGCGCCACGGGTAGATAGTCGGGAAAAGCGGTGTATACGGTACTTTATTTTACGAGGCGCACTTATTTCGGGTCCCGTGGGGAACTGACTGTACGAAATGAGCAAACGTACACTGGCGGACTTGTGCACTGACCCACATTGTCGTTGCATAACGGGACGTCTTTCGAAATATTCGCAAGTTTAGTGGTCTCGGTCTCGTCCACCGACGACGGTAACGCTCGTAAACGGAACCCCTGCAGTCACCGAGAGACGCGAACGCGACTGACGCTTACCAAGGAGAGACGTGCTCGAATCAACGATTTCTCATCGCTCGAAGGAAGGGAAATTATCTCGATAATATTTTGATCAGTTTCACCGAAAAGATAAACAAACGAATTACGTTTAAATTTTCGCTCGCCCGAGAAAGTACAATCATTGATACGTACAATGATTAATACATTCATTTATTTGTTCGTTTGAAAAATTTATGGATAAATGCCCGATGTTGCAAAACGGAAAAAAAGAAGCATAGTTTGAGAGAAGTTGTATAATAAAGAAGCAGTTAGAAATTTTTAACTATTAATAACTATTGATCGAGAGATTCGAAAAATATATAAATTCGCAAGATTAAAGAAAAACGTAGAATTATATATTTCTTTTGAATGATGTTATATATTAAGAAATTGCAAAATAAAGAAAAAAATAAATAATTAATAATAAAAAAAAATCACAGCTCTCGGATAATCAAAAAAAAAATCAATTTAATTAAACGATCAAATTTGCAAAATCGTGCGATCTAGTTATTGGATAATTGGTTTGGATGATATTGAAAAAAGTCAACTGAAAGAGTGTAGAGTTACGAGAGCGCGTGCATGCCTCGAGGAGTTCGAGAAACATAGCAGATAAAAATTGTTGATAATTTTTTAACAAAAAAGTGTGCATCGATAGACTTTTCTATCGTTTTCAAGTACTCATCTGATAACGCATTCGGCAAAAAAGTACCCAAGATATATCGACTTTTCAATATTTCGCGATATATCGGTCTGTTTGTCGCGCATAAAGGAAACGATAATCCTTAATTTCAAAGTATAATTTCGATAAGTTCGAATCCTCGGTAAGAACGTGGATTCTGGAATAAGGGGAAAGATTGAGCTCCCAGACAAAACTACTGGATGGAAACGTCACCTAATAAACGATCTCGTAAACGTCGGATCGCGAACGTCGGCGGCGTTGAATTGGTCTGACGCGCGTAGAAATGACACGATCGCCTCACAACCCCAGAACAAAAACGGCACCACGATCGTCGAAATAAAATACTCTTTATGACAGTCGCCGCCGCCGCTCCGAATCCCTAACGCCATTGGCGTAAAACTCGGGCGTGACGATTGCCACGAATAACCTTCGAGGTAACTCTCGAAGAAGAAATTCTTCGAGACAAGAATTTTTTTTATCCAATGTACAAAATTGAATCTGATAATTCGTATAATTTAGGACGAAACCTTGAAATTTCTATCGAATCATTATATACATATATATATCGATCAAAAAACATCGATCGAAATTTTTAAAGATTACGATTCTCCTTACGAATAAACTCATTTATAAAAAAAGAATCTATAATATATATTCGTCAACGACGATGATATTCTGATCGAAACGCATTTTACAGCAGCTCGAAATCGGTAGGATAGAGAAACTTAGTTGATGTAAAATTTTTGCAAAAAGAGAGAATGGTACGACGAAGGACGACCGGTGCGGGAGCGGCGGTAAATCGGTGGAGTTTTAATTGACAGAAATGTTTGGCGATAATGAAGGCAAGGTGGAAGGATCCGGATAAGTCGGAGATAGGAGCGGAACAGCGGCCGCGATGCCAACGGCGACCGACAATGGTAGCGGCGGTGGTGACGGTGGCGGTGGCGGCAACGGCAGCAACGACGGCAGCATCGGTAGCAGGAACGGCAGAAGAGGAACAGTACAGCGGCAGGACCGCGACTAGATAGAGACACAGCGGCAGGAGCATAAACATCCCGGTGGCGGCAGTGGTGGTGGCGGAGGCGGCGGGGGCAGCGCGCACGTTCCACACCGTGGGCGTCGCCATCGAGTTCCTACCACAACGGCAGGGGTGTTCTATGACGCTATAGATCATGCGGGCTCCGCCTGGTAGGCGGGCACAACCTGGTAGTTGGTACGCCAATGCTCTTTTCCCCTCGGCTCCGCCAACCTTGGCAGCGCCGCCACCGGTGCCCGCCAAAACGATCTCCGCTCACCGACTATCTATAGTCTGACGAACTCGTATCCTTCGACCTCCTTCCGATTCTTTTCCAACTCAAATCTTCGCCCCGAATTATCGTAAAATATTCTCCGCCGGGGGTAACGTCCCCCCTTGCCTCGGTGACGGATCGAAAACTTGCGAGGAGCCTTCGAATTTTCGGATAAATAGCCACGATCATAACCGCGATACCCTCGTCCTCAAACCCGAGCAACTCCTTGTTTTTCCTGTTTCTTTCGGGGAAAGAGCGTTGTGCATTCGCCACTGGGAGACGGGAAGACGGCAAGAGTAATTTTAAAACGCGAATTTGTTATAGCGAACGCTCGGTCTATATAGTACGAGTTGAAATCGTTTTAAACTTTCGCGCTCCCCTTTCTTGAGAATCCTTCTTTATTTATTTAAGAATAAAACTCTGTAATAATGTTTCCTAATGACACGAGAAAGGTTTCGTTGTATCGAAGTTTCGACGTCGTTACGATTTGAACTTTACGCGTGTATTCGTCGATTTCGTTTACGATGTATGTGCGTGAAATCTCAATATCGAATGTAAATCGATTATTGGTATATATGATTTCGATATTAGATTGAAAATATATCTATATGCGTGATTATGCTATTATATTTTTAATAAGATATATACATATAAAATATAATATATACATATTAAAATATAATAGCATAATATGTATATACTATGTCTATTTAATAGCTATGGCTTTTGTTTCTTTTTTTTTTCTATTATGTAATAAACATTAGAAACATTTCAAGCTTATTTTTGTTGCTTACTTGTTTCGTAAATCTTAAATCGAATACGTACACAAAGTTGTCGCAAGTTTCGTACAATTTTTGAGGTTAGGTTATAAAACTTCATTCTATCAACTTAATAGCGATATGCGAATTAATTTGCTATAGTACAGCACGAATTTCGATGAAAGACAATAATTATGATGCACTCACCAAACTTGGCAGAAAGCTCACTGTCCTGAAAGGGTTGAAAATATCGAGAAACTCGTAGGTGTGGCTCCGTGACGCCGTAGTACCGTGGCAAGCTACATCGTCGAGCAGCGCCTCTACCGGCGAAAAGAAAAATTACTCGTGCAGAGTGGTTCTCCCCTCTCGTGGTTTGGAGCGGGGCCGAGGTGGTTGGGGACCCCGCCTCCTTTCTCGACCATCTCTTACGCGCGCGAGCGCAACATCAGTCCCTCGGGCCCATCGACGAACTTTCGTCGCACCTTTCCGGTCTCGTTATTCGCGAAATCGTCTTTTTTTTTTTCGTTTCTCGTCTTTTTTCCCCCTTTTCTCTCTCACCAGAGATCATAGTGCAAACCGAGATAAAAGGAAAACGCGTTGGTGCCAGTGTGCGATCAAGTTGGAGGAGTCAGTGCATTCAACGACGTGGAGTGGTTGTCATTGCGCCGCCGCTAACCTCTCTACCAGCCCCTTCGCCGTTATTACCGCGGTGTCGAATCGACAAGTAGCCGAAGAATAGCAACGGTTGCGGAGAATCGTCTCTCCGATTTCGTCCGCCGTTTTTCGTATTCGTTCTCTTCCTCTCCTTTCGCCCACCTCCGCTCGACTCGTTCTCATCCTTTTTCATCCGAGCGACGCCGTCTTTTGCTCGGCTTTGACTTTTGATAATCGTCTCGTTTCCGCGAATCGTATCGGTCGGTAAGGTGAACGCGGACGCGAACGCGAACGAACGCGAGTATACAGTGGAAGAGGTGAAAAAAGAAGAGTCGGCGAAGAGAGGGCAAGAGGCAAAGCATAGCAAGGAAGAGCTGGCAAGCGAGGAAACGAGAACGAGTGGAGGAGACGAGAGGGAAAGAGGACTACTACTCCTGGGGCCCCCCACCACACGGGCTGCCGCCGCGACGCCAGTCCGTAGTCAGTCAGCGCTGGACCGCCGCCCGCTCGATTTCGCGATCCACGAACGACGGTAGCCACCACTTCCACCTCCACCTCCTCCTCCACCTCCGCTTCTTTTCTCTTTACCTTGCTCACGTTCTTGCCCTCTACCCCTGCATTCTTCCTCTCGCTCTCTCTCTTTCCCTCTCTCCTTGTCTCTCTCTCTCTCTCACTCACTCTCACTCTCTCGCAATATCATTTTATTTCTCTCTTTATCGATATCTATCCATTCGTTCCTTCTCCTCCCTATCTTTATCTTTCTCGGTACTTTACGTCATCCTATTCTCTTTCTTTCTCTCCTTTTATTCCCCTTTTTCACCCTTACGCTTTCAATTGGTCTCCAAGGTATACACGTACGAGCACGCACATAGATGCGATCGCGTATCGGTTCTCTCCCTGTTTCTCTTGCTCTTTTCTCCATTTTCCTCTGTCGAGCGAGCTTTCGCTAGCTCCGTACGTACGAACGTAAGTACGTACGGTGGAGTGTCGTGCACGCGTCCCAAGTGGATGCAAGGCGTCGTCGCGAGGCATACGTCTCGTAGATAAGTTGTCGCGTGATCGTAAAAAAATTCTCGATCTATCGATGGTGGATCGAATTTTTTCCCGAGTCAACGAATCGTTCCTCCGTTTCGAGAGTCGCGCTGCCGTCCCGTGCCGCGCCGCGTCGTGTCGATCGTCTTTCTTCACGGTTTCGTGTCATTTTCGCGAATAAATCGGGACGCGCAAAGTGAATTCAGGGTCTGTAGTGACACCGATCAATCCTCGATACGGTAACACGCGTCAAAAGTGCTCTATCGACGTTCGTCTCGTGCAGTTTTTTCTCTCGACGATTCCACGCGGAGGAACGAACGATCGCTTTCCGAACGCTTTTTGGTGTTTCCCTCGCGACGCGCAACTTCTAGAAAACGCCACGCGTGTCACTTCACTTTTTTATCTTGGATCTCTCGTAGGTGCGGCTTAACCGACATCGTAATCTTCATCCCAGAAGCAGACCTGTGTTTTCCTGCCGTTTTCCAAACAGTGGAATAGTTTCAAAGTTGCGAATCGTGCCTGGTCCATCTTCCGACGATGATGCGACAGTGATACAAGCGATAATCGATGATCGCCAAATGCGATTACGAGATCCGTTACGAGTGAGCTCTCTTGACCAATCGCGGATGGATCACGAGTCTTGGGGACATTTCAAACCGTACAAGTGCAATCAGTGCGCGACATTCCGTGAATGTAACTGCAATTTCGAAACTGGAAGATATTCTCCTCGTATACGATAATAAATAGTTGCGTTCTTCGTGATCAGTAGTGTATACGGGCACCGATGTAGGTGCGACACGTTGTAGAAACAAGAATCGATAAGTCAACAGCGAAATGGCACCGATCGTTGAAACGCCGAATCCGACCACTAAACGATCTATCGAAATCGCGATGAGGTAGTGCTTAACGGATAACGCGCGTGTGGGTGACTGTAGTGCACATATAAGGGAAACTTTGAACAGTTTCCCGCGGAAGATCTACACCGGATCTTCGGGCGAAATTTCAACACACGACCGTCACATGTTTGGGATCCGATCGACTACGTTTAACGAGCCAAGACCTGGAGGCCACAGAGAGAATCGAACATCTCCGAAGGACGCAGATGCCCCGAAGGAAACAGCACGCTCCACAACGTATGAAATGTAAGTGAATTTTTAATATTGTATCCTTATTGCGACGAGGAAAGGAATCCTCGAAGAAAGGTAGCCAGCCGGAAAACAAGCTTTCAACATCGTAATTAACCTTCCAAAGTGCGCTAGAGAGTAAAAATTAAAAAAATGTTGTTTATCGAATCTAATTTATCAAAAGCTGGTTGCCACGATTTCGAGTTGAACGCTCCTTCATTGTTATTTTCCAGTACGGGAGATACCACGTGTAAGCACGTTACTCGATAGTATCACGAGTCGTTTTTCTGACTAATTTCATACCCGTATTCGTTTCCTCGATAAAACCGCATTTTTTCTACTTTTCTCTTTCTTTTTTACGATTCGAAAAAACCGTTAATAAAGAGATAAATTTCATCGATTCTAAACGTCCTTCGATTTTGCAATCGATCAGTGCATTATTCATTCCATGACTAAATTATTTTATCAGTTAATACAAGTTATTCGCAAAATATGTTAAATATCTTTATGCATCGTTTAATCTAAAGTGACTACTATAAAGTCGCAAGAAAATTTTATCTCGACTCGTAATATTCCGTTGAATATGTTCGTTGAAATTATAACGTTAACCTTACTTCTTTTTCGAATATCTAAAGAATTTTTAACGTATTTATTCACGCAGAAAAGCATAAATTTCTTCGCATAGTGCAAAAAGATTCGTAAACAATTTCTTTTTCAAAATTTCGTGCGATTCCACGAAAGATTATCTCAATTATCGTTCGACGTTTCGAAAATAGAACTACTTTTCCGCGAATTGCAATATTTGACACCATCGTTGCGTATCGTATTACAAAACTCGACATCGTTAAAAGAATATTTTAACGTTAGAACGAAGATATGCCTGTATCACGTGACAAAGAAAATAAAAAAAATTCGTTATGAAATGAAAGGCAGTTGGCGAAATTTCGTGGCGACTGGTAGAAAAAACAACCGTGAAACTGGTAGTGGATTCGTGGGTTTGAATTCTCGACGCGCGCCATGCTGCTTTTCCCACGTGGGGAGCCATGAGGCGTAAACAAACTCGCCCCTGGTGGAGGACGCCATCTTGGTGAAGTTCTGCCGGAAACATTTACAATTCACTCAACTTGCCCTACCGAAACTCGGCCAAGCGCCGATAAATCTCGTTGTGCGCGCGCGCGGATACACGCCGCGTACATAAATCCACGGCAGTCTACGGAGTTTCGGCGCCGTAAACGCCACAGTTTTTCGCCAGCTTCCGTGGTGCCTGGCCATTGCCGAGCGAATTCAACTTTTGATCACGTTTTTGCGGAATCTCGCGTCTCTCCGCCACGATCCACCGGATTCTCTTATTCGTCGAATACGCGAAATCTAACTAAGAATATTTATAATAATTTATAATAATTGTTGAATTTCGGTGAGAAAGAAGAAAGGAATATCCTTTTGTGCATCGAGCACGAAAAATTGCTGAAGATATTTATAGTAATTTACATATAATTGTAATTGTATATATGAGGATTTCGATGAAAAAAAAAAAAAATTCATCGGATTTTTTTCCTTTAAACACGCGAACTTGTTAAATATATACATTTATAATAATTAATTATTCGACGATTTCGAATCGATTCATCGGATTTTCTTATCCGTTAAATATAAGAATATTTATAATAATTTATAATAATTTTTCGAAAATCTTAAAGAGAGAAGAACAAAAACTATAATGAATCCATCCTTTTGTTCGGCGATCTCGGTGAAAAGGGAAAAAATCGGTGACCGTTTATTAATTCGATTACGAGGTATAGAAAATATGAAATGGAACACAGTACGATGAAGCCGTCAGCGAAAGTAGGCGCGAATAGATTAAGAAACGACGAAATATGCCTGTATAGATCGTGGAACGTGGCTTGGACTAATTTCTCCGTTTAATTTATGATGTCCCGGTGAAAGGATCTGAGAAACGCGCCGATCCTTACGAATCGATCTCTCGTCTATCTCGAGCCTGCTATCAAGCATTTACGCTGCTACTTCGAGGAAGTTAATTAGCAGTATATTATCGTGAAAAGATTGCCGGCTAGATCGGTGGCTTCGTTGTCACGAAGGAAAATTCTCGAGTTAAAATATACATCAAATCGATTGCGAGAAAATTGAAAATTCGAGGCCGCGTCGATAATCGTCTGTTCATCTGTTCGTGGGTTAACACCGGTTTCGGATCGGATGGTAAACGGTTCGTTTAAAGTAATCGGTTGTGGAAGGCTCGCATTATTTATCGCAGCTCTTTTCGACCGGAGGAACGATGGGCGATTCAAGATCGCGTTAGTCTAACGCGTTGGCTATTTATCAGAAAATTCGTAGCTGGCGCAACAGGTGCAGTTTCACAAGGCATCCTCTCTTCTTAATGTCCGAAAAAGTAAACTCGTCCGTAATTCGATCTCGCCGCACTTTCGATCGTATGATGGGCCGAATCATGTTACATCGTGCCAGCCAATCGGTAAGGAAGTAACCGGCAACGATGCGTTTAACGCCTAAGCTAGGTTTCCTAGGCGACGATCGTTCACTCTCGTATATCGTCGACAATGTTTCAGTCTTGTTTAATATTCGTCAAATAACCACGACGAGGCAGTGTCGCGGATATGAAACGAATTTTGGAAGAAGAGAAGCTCGATAGCGGCGCGCTAATTATAAAGCGTCGCTCGAATAACTTCGGAGGACACGATCGAGTTGGCCACCGTTCCTTGCGTTTCTCCACGACTCCGTGATCCACGGTTCCATTCATAAAGCAGGAAGAGTGCTTTAAGTTGGCGCACGCGCAATTCCTAACGGCCGTCGTCCGTCTTCGCTACCAGATATTTTCGGCGGTCCGGAATTATAAAGCCAGCACGGTACTATATGGTTTCATCCGAGACGCCACGAGACTTGGTCGCGAGATTCGTCGGGATAACGAAATGAAAATGATCGATTCGACGACGGAATACGAACGACTCGCCTGTATCCAAAGTCACAAATTTCTTTCGGTTTATATTTGAAATATAATTTTGCTTATTCGACGTTTTGTTTTCGTTCTCGTTTCTCCTTCTCGTTTTATCGATTTTACCATCGCTGACGAACAAAAAACTAAGATATCGCTAACATCGAAACTTGAGTACTCGAGAGCCAATTGTTTTCTTTCTTTTTCTTTTAAAGAAGATAACCTTGGATAGAGAAAAAGGAGAATACACTTTTTCTATACGCATACCTGCTGGAAGGTTCGCGAAACGTGGCGCAAAAAATTTACGACGGTTTCTGACGTTCTGGAAGGGACATCACGGGACATGCGGTGCACACTCCTACCAGATACCTGCCCCCACTCGCAACGAGAAATTTCACTACCTATCGTGGTAAAAACCCTTGGTGACCCGTGGCGAACGACGCCCATTGCGCAAAACTTTCACCTCAAACAATGCCGGCGCATTTTTCGGCCTCGAGGCCTCACTCCTCCGCGGCCATAAATCCTTCACCCCTGTGGAAAAAGCGTGGTGTGCCCTTTGCTCGGAAGGTTTGGGTCGACGCGGAAACGAGGAGGAACCCGCATAACTTGTGCGACTAAACACGGGAAATCCAGCGACAGTTTATCGCTTAACAAACCTTCGAAACGCACGCGGAAAATAGGATGGGAATCGCCTTGTACGGATCGATGGAAAAGCTTACGGCTCGAAAATGCGTATTCGTTTTCGTGGAATCAATACGATACATATCGCCGATACATCGAGGACAAATATATATCCGTGCACGTACAATCGGTTTTCGACTCATAACGAATTAACCATGCGTGAAAGATTCGAGTTCGGGTGCTTTCGCGTCACGCGCGTATACACCAGCTTTCTAATCTGCTTTCATTATTTCCGGTGACCATGATTTACTCCTGATATCGTATCGACGAGCAAATATGCCAAAAAACGAAATATGCGCGTATTTCGGGATAAATGAGATCGCGGAGGAAGGAACTTGGTCGTTTTCCATTTCTTATAATCTCCCGCCGCAACGATATTTCTCGAATCATATACGAAGTATTCCCGTCCATTCGTATGCAAACGGCGGACAAGCTGGACGACAGATTCGATCGAATTACAATTTTCATGGCTCGCCCTCGGTTCATCCACGACACGCGTGGTTATTTAACTCTTTCGGATGTTTCGATGCACCCAGAGGGCACGTTTCGAGGGCGCGGTCGTTGATCGACCATCTACGTATTTACGCATACGCCTATACGTTCGAAAGTAAACGTAGCTTACGCATAGCTCAGAGTAATTTACAATTTCGTGCAGAGCTTCGGTTGTAATTTATTCTCCCGTTGGAATATTCGGTCGGATCGAAGGAAGAAGTTCTTCGATCGCGTTTCCACGACGCGAGTTGACGACGACCAAGCTGTCGTCGATATTCATATTCGGTATGAATCATTTAACGCGATTAGACGTTTCATCGCGTTAAGCGCGAGCAGCGGCATCGCGCGGCCTCGGCTCTCGCGTCCCTCTCACCCTATTTTCGATGCTCGTAAAACCGGCGTCGCTGTATCCGACTGATCCGTCTCCCGATTTATACCGAGAGACGAGCGGCGACGAGTCGCCGCTCGGGACGCCGCGGCTCCCGCAGCCGGATCTTTCTCCGCGCCATTCTCTAAGCGGTGCTAATAAATTAGCCGGAGAAAAAGACGGCGGTACGACAGATGCCCGATGGCTGCCATAAAGGAACTGCTAGAGACGCTCGCGGGTGGTGGTGGCACATCAAAGCATATCCGTACCGACCCGATGCAGTACCGTTGTTTTATGTTTACCATGGGATTTGTTGCTCCTCTCCGTTTGCCTGACAAACACCCGAGTGAGTTATATATCGCCGGTTCATACTCTCGAATAAATTCGCGATACCCGTTGCGCGCTCGTTCTTGCTCGAACGAGCGAGCGAGCGAGCGAGAGAGAAAGAGAGAGAGAGAGAGAGAGAGAGAGAGAGAGAGAGAGAGAATGACCCGAGTTGATCGAAGTGGAGGGGAA